AAACGACCCATGTGAAATGAAAAACGTTGCCGATGCATATCCTAGAGTAAGTTACATGCAAATTTTTATATTAATAAACATATTTGTAGCCACTGAAAAAATTCGCAAGGATTCCATTGAATAAATAAGGTTTATTAGGATTAGGTAAGAATACATACTGTGCAGAGATGAGAAGATGACAAGCGAAAGGAATGCGGGTAGGATTGGTGGTAGTCGGTAAGTCACACCTGACGCACATGTGTCCTAGATGGTAGCGCGTTATTAGCTGATGCGGTCATATACTAATCGCATCACCTACCTGACAGAAAAGGATAATGAGACTTCGTGACAAAGTGGAATGATACGAAGTCAGCGTTGCGATGAACTTTAAATGCGAGGATCAAAGGTGGGGAGAGGGCGGAGCGTGCGAAGTGTTCCCTTTGTCCCTCTGCCGTCATCTTCTCATCTCTGCACAGTAGATAAGGATCGATAAAGTCAAGGTTATAAAATTTCAACTTCGAACATTATGTCTGTCCGCGGCCGCCGTAATCAACGACCGTGTTCTTAACACATTCGCATCGGGCATTTTTCACAAACTTTTCGTATAAATCAAAAATATGACTCGTGCATTTTTGTTATTTGTTGAAACGGTCACATCTACTAATAAACTGGCACACTTCTATCGTAAATTGATCAAGCCGGATAGAGCGATCGAACCTTCTCCCTTTTTCTCGGTGTGACTTTGTGCGACTTCTTTTCAGCAACGCGCAGTGGTTATTAATAATGAATTTTGGTTTTAAGGCGGTAAGAAATAAATCGTGTACAACTTATGAAATTACTGTTTACAGATTGCGAGAGACTTAGACCTTTACCTGGAACATTATGGTCACATTTTGATACGACAAATTAAACTTCCCGTTGATTGGTTAGCTGATCCAAGGAGGAGAAATAATACGTGGGAACCTTGGATTAATTCAGGAGCTACAATATATGTTCCTAACACCGCAGCCGTAGTTGGCAATTTAGTGTACTGTGTTCACATTTTAATAGTTTTTATTTCAACCTTACTGAGCATCTACACTTGACCGTATAATGCTTATTAGAGTTATTGCAAATATAATTGTTAATTGACTAATTTGACAAAATTTCTTTATATAACAAATATTTCAAGTATTTCGAAAATTTTAGATAATATTTATAGGAGAAGCATTATTAAATATTTTAGTAATTTAAAGCAAACTTCTACTATGGAAATTTGAAATGCCATGCAAAACATTCTACATTGTTGTTTTTATTTCATTTAATTACTTTTTATATTTTCGTATCTAATGTAGGGTAGGGTAATATTATCTCTTAATTTAAGCTTTAGTTCCCGTTTACAGTAAGGATACTTTATTAGATAACACAAATTAGTTCCAGTTTTGTTTGCCTCAGTAAATGCAAAAGTATTGCTGGTCATACTTTGATTTAACTGATGAGCACACAATGAAATTAACGAAACATTAATAAAAATAAATGAATTTATACTTATATCGTAATTGATGATTATGTTATTCTTCAAAATATTTTAATGGGATATTTGAACGCTAAACTTACATCCTGGCTTAATAAAACTAACATTAATAAACGTAATACCTTAGTAAAATAAATAAATAACACTGGCAACGGCTCCATCAATTGCTAGCATTTGGACTGTGCCATATCGTTCGGCGTAATCGTCGCCTGAGAAGCCGGACAAAAATACTTACTGGGGTTGTTAACGGGCTGTCAGACCAGTTCGTCTCCAAATTCGGCCGTAAATAATCCGGGAAAAGGGAGGAGAATTATCCATCAATTGAGGATTATCAACTGAAACCACCGCGTAACGAAGTGCTCTTTACTAGATCGGATAGGGCAGTTGAAGGCAGGCTAGCGATTGTTCCAGAGTAAAAAACTGTTCAGATTAGGTAAGTAACTAACAAAAGGAATAAGCTAGTACTCAGGAATAAAAAAGAGGAAAATAACCCTTCTGGTAAGCTATTAGTACTGATCTCTCTCCCTTGCTAGTTACTTATTTAGTTTAAACGGTCCTTAAGATAGCACACTGATCGTCGCGTTGCTTCGCAAATTAGTATTAGAAAATATATTTAAACATAAATTACATAATTATGCAATAAGATCAGGGAAGGTTTTGGATAATATATTTAAAGGACATTACAATATTTGCAAATTTAATACAACGTCAAGTTTTCTATCTCTTTTTACACACGTTTTTATATCATTATTATGTATATTCCACAATATAGGCTATGTACGTAAACCTACATACAAACTGGTCGAGTGTTCACAACCGAGAACGAAGATTACCGAATGGGTTGTGTCACTTTTTGTCTCTTTCTACAATAGTTTCTTTCTGAGAGTGTCGCCTCTTGTTATAAGCGCTCCCTTTCCTTCAGGCCCTCCAAGCTCCACTCTTGTGAATTTGATGCAAATTTTAACTCGGCGCAGAAAATCCAGGCGGCGCTGATGTCGCTTCTCTACATGCATACTGTTACGTCCGGATTATTTTCAATAATCTGACCGTGGTTAACATTTATTTTCATTTTCTTTTTGATAGTGTTGAATAGTTTAATCGTATAATATACTGAATTTGTGTACCTCGTCGGTGCGCAGCACTTGGAGATAATCCCAGGCGAGGCACACAAAGGAGGCTATAATTAGTTCTTTTCAAACAATAAGAAGTTAACCTTCCTTGGGACGATTGCCTTGTCGAAACCGCGTAGCAATAAACACATAGAAATTCGAAACCGCTAAGGTTAAGGAGAGGTACTATCAACATCTTTCGCCACGCGGTTAAGCAGTGCGATGCACTTGGAAGTTTCCCAGCTTAACCGCGCGAAATAAGGGAAATACGATTTTTGTTTTACTTCGCAACGAAGTACCTCTCCTACCTCCAAAGCATGCGTCAGCCGGTCCTTCCACGAGGAGTGCATGTGATTTGGTACAGAACAATTGAAATCTAACGGAATGAAACTATTTGGATGATATTAGAATGCGAGGGTTTGCGTGACAACCGCTGTAGTTCGAAATCGTTCACGAATGTTCGAGACAAAGGTCGACCGAGTCTATAAACATCGTCGTTAAACGTTAAACGTAGAACGTTCGAATATACATAAATCGTCGAGATACGAATAAGAATGTTAATAACTAATAAGAGCGAAATGAATATTAACTAAATGCGACACGCATGTATCCACAATTGTCGACGATTATAAAACACCGGCTGCATCTCGCGTAAACCGCTAAACAACAGAATTAACAGTACAATTAACGTATGAATAATAACTAACGACATTCAACTAATGGTCATTCAAACTAGTAAACCAAATATTTTTAATAAAATGAAGACCTCTTTCGATACCGGAAATATCATGATAAAAGCCTCTTTAACTAGTAAATTCAAATAAATTAAGTCGCAACAGATTTCGAATATTCCAGAACTTTAGAATTGCGACGCATGAAATCCGTTGTAGCGTTAGAGGGGTAGAAAGAAATGGACAACCTTAGACGAAGGTAGAAGGAAAAACCAGGAAGGGATGAGGGAACTAGGAAGAGCGGCCAACTAGCCCAATACGCGCGGGATTTCCCCTCCGTCACGTACCCCGATTTGCCAAATGATGTCCCCACTTTGGGCCCTTGATCGCGGGTCGAACCCTGAGACACGATCGCTAGACTGAGGCAAATGACTCTTCGTCGAAAAATCGTGAGGTACGTGACGGGGAGCCCGTGTTCGCGTCGAGCAATAGTTTTCGCGTGAAATTGTCGTAATTAGCTGACCGGTAAAGTCCTTGAAAAAGGCAGAGTGCCGGGAGATTGCGGTTCGCGTTTTCCGCGTAAAGGACTCATACGAATACGTTAAATTCTTTTCACACTTTTCAATGATCTATTTTTTCTCTTTTGTTTTTAAACCGTCCGCTAAATTAATTATTATTTTCTTTTTTTTCCTTTCGCGTCGCGTCGTCTTTATAATACTTTTGTGCTCGTTTCGTAATTAATCGTTCCGTAACACCGTAATAAAGGCCGATCGCGAACGCGTAGTGCAGTGACAGTTTTCCTTATCGTCTTCTTTGATTTCCAGATTTCTCAACGATACCAGCAAAGAAAGCGTTTATCAAAGTTATTATTAAATATCATTTTATCTTGTTTCCTGGTAAGTTGTCCATTTCCTTTTATCTAATACGACGAAACTGGACGTAGCGAGGCAAAACGGGCGATCTACGAAACCGCGTATTCTGGAAAGTTTCCCTCTAGATCGTTCCGTTCACAATAGAGACATAAGGTATCGAATATCTAATATATTTTGAAAATTCCGTTTCTCACACAAAAGAAGGCGGCCCCACGAAACCGTGATTCTGGTAGTTTACCCTCTGGGACCGTTCTTTCTTTTTGTTCGCGTTCAGTTCTGTATACGACATCGTCGCTCGAATCGTCGAATCGTTTAATCAAACATTAATTATTCCATAATCAATAGTCTCACTTTCATATAATCTAAACCTTTCTTAACAATGCATTTATTTTCCTTTGTATTTCAAACAGCTCGCATTTTCTGTTAACCAACCATTTATTGTCACGTTTACTTTTTTTGAGATTATATTTTTGTTACGCCTAAACTGTTTCGATTCATTTACGTTTTAAACCACTTCCTTTTTCCTTCATTTTCACGCCTACCATCTTCGTACAAATTCGCACGAGGGGCCCGTATGGGACTAGAGCATTGACGAACCCAATTAAATTCTTAATTAACTATTAATCTATCTATCAACTCTTTTATTGTTCTAATCGCGAAGGATCTAACATCGTCTCGAGCGATTAGGACTGGTGGCAGCGCTAATACCGTTCTCAACCGCGTATCAGCCAACATAATAAAACATAGTAGAACTTTCGTTCTCGTTTTCCATTTTTCGTTTTTTTTTTATTTTGCACGTCGCGCGCCGTCTCTCTCTCTCGCTCGCGACGTAACAATACCTTGTATCACTGATTTTAACATATCAACTAAAGATATCGTGACGTCATGTTCCCGCGAAATTTGTCGCCGCGTTTTTCAATTGTTTCAAAATTTAAAAAGACTGAACAAGACTGAAGAAATATGGCGCACAGTGGGTGACAGTGGTGACAGAATTTCCAGGTTAGTGAATTCCATTATTATAATTATTACTATTATTATTATTACTATTGCTATTATTATTATTTAAAAAGATATTTTTTAAAATTTTTTCTACGTTTGTAGGTTTTTCAATAACTTCTGCTGATGAGATGCAGCAACAGGAGGAGAAGATAGAAATTAAGTAAGTACAGAATTTTTTAAATTTGTTACTGAAAGCATTAACTGTTTACATTGCTGTTTTAGTAATATATTTAATTTTAATTATTAAAATGTGTCTTAAAAGAAAGAGGAAGAAAATATGTAGCATCAGAGGGTGTATTAACGAAAACAGCAGGATGTTCTTCTTCCCCCAAGAGAGAAAGGATAAGAAGAGGATGGCATAGTGGGTGGAAGTATGTGACAACCCAAAGTCGGTGCTTCCACCTGAAAACTGAAATTCAGGGTGATCTGTAACAGCTACTTAAAAGAAAAATACTTCATGAGGAAAAGATTAACAACACCAGCAGTTCCAACACTGAACTTATTTGGTAATAACTCTTATATACTTTTTATAGCATATGTAAATAATTGTTAATAAAAATATTTATTGCTGAGGCTGTAATAAATATTGTATGTAAGAGGCTGCCTCTATTAAAATAGAGCAACAAGACACCTGGATGCAAATGAAAAGAAGAAGAAGATTGTAAGTATTCAGTTTACATATACAATATATAAAACCATTAATATGGTATTAATATATTAAGTATAATCTGTGAGCAGAGTGTGTGTTTTATTGTATGTATGATTGTGATTAATTGTATATTATTATTGATATATATATATATATTTATTATATTTTTGTAAAAATTTAATATATTCTCTTTATTATACATATATTGTTGTCATTTTTCCCCTTTCATTATTTTTATTTTTGAAAGTTTTGAATAAGTAAGACCATGCACTCGTATATAGGGACCATGTGCTTGTGTGTGTGTACCTCACCGATATCATTTATGTGTTTGTATCGACATCAGCGCCGTCTGGATTTTCTGCGCCGAACTAATTTTAGTTACAGCATTAAATACGGGAGTTTGGAGGGCCTGCTTTCCTTACCGTCCCAACCTTACCATAGCCACCGACGAGATATGTACTGTTAAAGACTGCCATCCTTATGGGAGTTCGCGGCGGCGAAAAAATTCGACGTTTTCTTACGCCCTCTAGAATATATTGCGGCCGCAGTAAGAAACAAAACCAGAAGCAGTGAGTTTACTAACGACGAGATTCGGTGCTGAACTGTATCATGAGACATGAGATGATATTTTATCTGGTCGATGCTATTATTACTTCTTTGGTGATTTGAGTTAAGTTCGTTTTACAGACCTTTCGGAGATACTTTTTAAGACGTAAAATATTTTAAAGGAGGTAACTTAATAACCCTCTTTAGTTCATTGGAAATTATTTTTTTAATAAATGACGAACTCTAGTTCTAAGTTTAAGGTATGTGTGTTTAAGGTAAAAGAATATTCATTTAGAAAAAATAAGGAATAGAAAAAAAAATTAGGAAACAAATTATTTTCTTCTAATTTCATTTAGAAATCATTTAGAAATAAAAATGAATAAAAAATATTGCATAGGTTCTGTAGGATATAATCAATAATAATAATAATGTAATAATCATAATAATATAATAAGTAACAGGTGTCGAAAAGAAGAGAAATGTATTTCAATAAAATCTTTCATTTAATAGTAAGTAAAAGCTGGAAAAGTGCAACATCGCTATCCTCTCCACTTGGGGGGACCCACCTAGGCGAACCGAGACGCTCGATCAGGAAACCGTGTAATATGATCCGAACCTTAATATCGGTGTGACTAATAGTAATTCAACGATAAAACTTTTTTATTTTTAACTTTATTCCATGTTTGATTGTGAGTCGAGCAACACACGGTGCGATTGATAGCAAAAATTGTAAAAGTAACTAATGTAAGTCGCAGTATTTTCAGTGTTAGATTTGTATTCCACAAAAAAATAAATATTTAAAATTACCACAATAGTATATACAAATTTGTCCACTGCTTGACACAGTCTGCGACCTTTCAGAATATTCGGGGTCTATTTTCTGTTATAAAGTCTTGCCATAATACTTTGAAAAAGAAAGGACAGTCAATGATGGGCCATGATGGGGTATGTGCGGACAATGACGCACTCAGGATTTATTCTTGGAGGGAGCTAAGTTGAACGAATAAAAATATTTTTAATACAAAAAACAGTGTTATTAATATGTTACATAAACAGTAACACTACTTTAATTAGGAACAGATTTTGGAAAATTTTCTGTTGTTCTCCTTCCTTTTTCTTTGAGGGATGCTAGAGCCCCTTAGCCCCCCTTGAGTGCGCCAGTGTCAGCGCGGATATGCAAGGACGCAAGCTTTTAAACGTTTGGGACGTTCGACTCTGTTCACCACATGGCAGAATAAGGGAATACTAGTATGTCATTCTCTGTTAAAAATGTCTACTTCCGCTACCTGTGAAAAAGGTAAAAATGCCCACCTGTTAACAGTCTGCTAAGAGACGAGTCTCTGTTAACAGTTAAATGATATTTTTGGTTTAAGAATCATTATTTTATAAATATAATAGTAATTTTCGAATTATTTTTTATTAAATTCTTCTATTTTTTTCAGAATGTTACGTACCAAATATTCTTATTTTTCATATATTTATGTAGTATCGATTATTACAATAAGAATGTAATCCAATTATAAGATAAAATATAATTGTTTTCCAAGCAGCACCGACGAGATAATTATTGTACTATGACAAAGCTAAATCATCTCGTTGGTGGTATAGCAGTTTTTTTCGGCGGTACAATGGGTAATATCACTATTCTACATTATCCATCATTCCTATTTACCGATCGTACCCCAGGCCCACTGGGTCCACTTGGCGTGCCGAACATTAACACAGGGGATGGCAGTCTTTAACAGTATCTTGTCGGTGCCCTAGCCTCTCAAAATTCCCTACCCTCGGGATCGAGAGAGTCGAAAGAACAGAACCCGACAGCAGGAAGCAACCCAGAGACCCCCGCAAATGGAAGAGGGATAGACCCCCTCCCCGCAAGAAGAACGGCAAGCCGAAGCCCCCTCTCCAGGAGCACCCCGGAGAGAATATCTCGCGGACAACAAGATCGAGGCCTTCAAAAGTCAGCCGACATTCCGGTGGGGCCTTCTCTATGCCCGGTTAGAGGACCCTCGCCAGAAGAGGTGCGTCGCGCGTCGTCCGCCTTATCGACTCGTTATCGATCCTGATCCTTCTCGCCAATCACCCGTCCACCCAGACCCATCCACCAATCAGCCTCTGATCTGACACCGTGACCTAATCCCTGGCCGTTCCACCTCCCCAAAAACCCCGTACGCAAAGTCCACCGTCGATGAGACCGCGAGAAGCGATCATTAATTGAGAGACTTAGATAGTGAGCGATACGTGAGAAAAATCGACTAACGAGAGAGCGTGTGCTAACGATTAAGAGAAAGAGAACTGAGGTATCCACCGTCGAACTGGGTGAGTCTTCCCGCATAATAATTTGGCGTTGCAGTAACGGCTGCGTTCTGCTTTCCGCGTTTCAAAACTTTTGTAAATTGCGTCCCAAAAACACCAAACCCCGTTTTCCCTTAAGAATTCCTACGTCCCCTTTTGAATCCCTCGATTGTGTAACGCGTTGAACGTCCTCGAGCCTTCCAACCCCTAAGATTCTCAATCTTCATATCTTCCTCTTTGCGTACTCTCTCGCGAAGCCTGTGACACTCGGCTGCGGTTGAGCCGCGTATCACCCATTTTTGTAAAACCCCCTAACTCCCCTTCCCCTTCCCCTTTCCGTTTTTGAGTTGCCACTGCTGCGGCTGGCGCTCAACAAACAGAAAAATAATATACAGGGTGTCCCAAAATTAGGTCGAATCCCGTGGAAGGGTGATTGCTGAAGTGATTCTAAACAACTTTTCCCTTTGCCAAAATGTTGATAAAGGCTTCGTTTTCGAGTTATTAACGAAAAAAACTGTTCAATCAGAGTGCGCCTATAACGCGGGCTAAACGGCGAGAGTGTTGGGTATGCTCCGCGTGCAAATCGTGATCGTGATCAAGTGCATCGGTACCACGTCAGTATAATAAGGACTCGTTGGGCGACAATTGCATCGAATAATGAATAAAAAAAGGAAAAGAATAATAGTATTGAATTATCGGTTGCTCGTGAACAGCGAATAACAGCGAATCGTTGTTCATGTAGAATGAATAAATCGAATTGATCCAACATTTTTATTCCTTGTATGATAGGAATTTAAAAAAAAATACTTTGTAGTCATTTTTGAGAAAAATGTGAAAAAGGGAATACACGATTTGGAAATCAAAATAAGTTTGCAAATAATAAAAAAAGGATTGAATGTAAATGAAACTTACCCATACGTCTGTAAATAATTTAGCTGCAATGAAAATGGTTTGCGCTGTAACTGGGTCATTTGTGCCGACCTTGATATCATACCAGGAGAGAACACGTTACGGAGAACAGCTCATCCATCTCTCCAGGCGGGTTTATTGAACATACTCAACCGCACCGGTCACTATCACTTTTTACAGAATTTTTTTTTTACTTTTAAACATTCTTATTCACTATTTGTTCCCGAAAGGGGCCAATTGTGTCACGTAAATAATAAATATTCCTATTCACTTGTTACCGCCGCGACATTTGCGGTAGAGTTCGTTCTATGTTTTAATAATAATTGATGATGGCCCCCGAAAGGGGTCGATTTTAGACAGCTCTCTCGCTCTCTTATTCTAAAAGTGGCTCCACCTGACCTCCCTTCTGCTGCAACACATGCCATGTTGCGGCTGCCACTCTGCAGCATTGCGAGTATTATTGCAGCAGCATGGATTTGTGCCACTACTTCTGTAGTGGACAGAAAAAGGCGCGTGTTTTGTCTGGGGGAATTCGTCTGGCAGATTCGTCCAGTGGGGCTGACGACCGAAGATTCTTGCACCAGACGCCTATAACTCCGCTCTTCGGAACTCATATACATATATCCGAATCGCATGCCGAGGGACCGCCAGCGAGAACAGACCAATTCCGTCGCCACCTGGCCGTCGTCGACCCGAGCTAAGGGCGTCCGGGGAGACTCACCGTCTTTCCCTTCCACTAAAACGTCTACACTTCCTCGGGGGAGGAGATGGTGTTCCTGTACCCGTGGTTCTGAAATAGTTAATAATGAATAAGTGTACGTAAGTATCAAGAAATATTTATAAAGTAAGTTAAAAGCTGTAACAGCATACGTACCTTTAAGTATCCTCAGAAAAAAAATCCAGGGGATTCATATTCGAAGATAGTGGGGGCCACACGAGGATCGCCGTGGCCAATCCAACTGTCCTGGAAGGCTTGATCCAAATGGGTGCGAACATTTATGGCGAAATGTGCTGGTGCACCATGATATTGGTAGAACATGTCACTCCGAATTTCCAAAGGAATTTCCTCTAAGAGATTGGGAAGAACATGTTCTAAGAACACTTTGTGCGATGGGCTGTCCAATCTATCAGGTGGAATGTACGGCCCAACAACAAAATCGCCGTAAATTCCGGCCCATATGTTGATCGACCAGCGCACTTGTCCTGCTCGTGTCCGAATTGCAAACGGATT